CATACTTATGCACACTTACGTGGAGGCGCGTCGTCTCGTCGATGCCTTGGCCATTTATTATCGAATGCGAACAGAAGGCGTACAGGTCAACGCGCACATCTATACCGAGTTGATCCATGCTCACGTTAAGGGTAGCGACATTGCGGAGGCGGAACGAATGTATCAGCGAATGCTCGTCAATAACGTGCATCCCACCGTGGTGACCCTTTGCGAGCTAATGCGGGGTTATGCGAAATTCGGTAATGCAACGAAAGCACGGGAAATGTTCGATGAATTCGCGAGACGTAAGCTGATACCGCCTACAATAGCCTACAACATTATGCTGCATGCCTACTCAAGCAAGCAAGATGAGACGGGCATGGCGTATATAATGGAGCAACTACGAAGGAGCAACGTGCAATGGGATATCGTCACCTATAATACGCTTATTCATTGGTATACCAAAATAAATGATATCCCTACAGCGCAGCGCTATTATCGAGAATTACTAGGTGCAGGACTGCAACCCGACAATATTACTCGAGAAGCAATGTCAAAGCATCACTCTGCAACATAAACTATTTACACAAATAATAATAATAAAAAACATGAACTACTCGATTGTTGCTACGATCGATGTAAATTACAGATTTTTCCCAATCAATAAATAATCTTGCACAACTGTTTACACCATTATCGTATTGCTATTATTATTGAGTAGTTGTCATGACCCTAGCAGTTGAGGGAGATGTTAATGATTGCGATATCATATATTACAATAGTATTGACAAGCTATGATGAATTGGCAGGAACATTTAGTAAAGGACAATATGGATGCTTGTTTTATTCAGCGCATTGTTATAATGGTATTCGAGAGGATTCAGATAGCAATCTTCAATCAAGCAGAGTGAAATGATGACGCAGTACATGTGCTACCGAGTAACATCCTCTATGCATTGAGAAGCATTCATCAGGTTGTACAGGTTGATGTCTCAATTGCTACTATAGTTGATTTGTTCGATTAATCATCCAGTTTATAGAAAGTATTAGCATGTGTTATGGTTTAATGATGTATAAACACTACTCTTATCAACTAATGTAATATGGTTTATTGATGTTTGTTATAGTTCACCGTATTCTTCTATCACTAGCGTACGTTTTTCATTGGAACTATATATTGTACCGACTATTGCATAGTCAGGCAGGTCCAAGCCCATATCTGGTATTTCCAATTTACATATTATCTCTTTTGTATTGATGTCAACAAGCAATCGACTTTCTGTATCATTATGATATGTAATAAAAACATAGAGATCTCCTATAATATGCATGATGAAAGCCATACCCGGCATTTGTAATACTTGATCGTCATCGTAGGATAAATCTGTCCATACTTTTGTTGGTCTGAAACCAAATTCTAGATATCTGCATCCAGCCCTTAATAACGGAATGGGTATATGTTGGTCAGTTGTAGTGTAGCAATTACGTAAAGTATGACTTTGACCACTGGATGCTACACTGTGAATTATGGATAGATCACTACGAACAGAATCAAGTATTTCAATTATCATATGCGAGTCGTATGAATTATGAGCATATATTGCCACATCCATTACCCTCTCGGGTAAATGAAACCAGCCATTTCGCAATTGTACTACAGGGTTATTGCTCGAGAATTGGTATAGTGCCCATTCAATACGATCTGTATCATCTTTGACTTTGACTCTTCTTGCCGTGTATACTATTGCTCTATTGTTGGTTGTTTTGTAGAAATGGACCGCATCCCATGTACCATCAATGCTTCCTGGACACATGATACTATTATCTATATCGAATACCATTGCATTGGCTATATCTATTGATTAGTACTAGCTATATTGCATCATTGTACAATTACTACGCCTACATATACAAACTGGTGAATCATAGAATCCTCCCTCTCTCTCATGCACTAATAATATCCATTTCCCTTCGATTATCTCCACTTTATATGATACTGGAACATCGAATGTAGTGAAAATACCACCATGTTTGCGAGAAAGTATTTTTACATTATAGTCGGTGTCGCTTTCAATTTCCTCAGGAGTTACGACTATGTAATGATCACCCAGGACATAAGTATACTCATCTTCATTACCAATATCCAGCGAAAGAACGTTTGGCGATGTAGAGAATGTACTGTTATACACAGTATTATTGTTTGATCTAAGATTTGAATGCGGCAGATATCCTAAAACATAGCTATGAATTGGTGTTCCGTCTGGACGATATTGCAGTGCAATAAATATACGATTATTATCAGCATCTTTGCGATAGCGCATTCCATCATTGTCATGTTCCATATTGATACGCGTGGTCTTGCATCGTCCAAATCGCCAATTATTCTCGGTGCTCACTCGTCGACGATATGTGTTGTACCAGTCCACATTCTCTAGTAGATCGGCTCGTTTATCCGATGTACATGGATTGTTGACATCCGTGCGTACACACCATAATACGAAATCCATTTCTTTATCATAGCAATCTTTTGATAGGAACTCTCTATGGTATAGTGCTTGCCATAATGCTCTATCATTTCGAATACTGCTTCTTAGCGAGCGACAACATGCTGATAAACGCACTAATCCGATATGACCTAGTAGACTACGGAAGACACGCTGGTCATGAAATGGAAGACTATTCAGACAAACTAGTAATCTACAAGACGAGTTGGGATTACTCGATATTTCAGCAGTAGTAGTAGTAGACATAGTGGAATGGAATAAGAAAGACAATAAGGGGTAGAGAAATACGATGACGTTATTTTAATCAAGAATACACAAATAAATCATACGCAAGTGTGGATAACAATAAAGCATGGTGTTCAAGTATTTCTAATTGACGAGATATCCTATCGTCACTTGTCATGCCTTCTTAAGATGAATATAATCTATAACAATATACTAACTCATTATTCTATTAGATGTACACATCAGAATTGTAAAGATGACATGAATGGTAAAGGATTCGAGTATCATTTATGGAATCGGGATATGGCAGCATGTCTGAATTCTATTCAGATTATTCTCAGTCTTCGCAATGGAAACGGTGTTCCAACACAACTACATCAAAGTGCCATTACTTCTAAATGTTCAAGAAAAGGAGGACAACAGAAACAACTTATCCGTAATGTATCATCAATCGCATCTAAATACTTATTAACATGGCTATTACTTATTAGTAGAAGCAAAGGTTAATAGCGTTAATCAGAAAAAGAAATCCTGTATTATAGAATAAAGAATACTAGTGTAATTGTCGCTTTATTTTTATATAACATTTCGATATGAATGATTAAATAATCATTGGATATATATCCGAAATATAGCGACGAATATAATACGCATACAACAAGGATCATACTAAGAATGTATACAAACTCAATCGAAAGCTTACCATTCAATGAATATGAAAGAAGCCTAAGGAGATACAAGTAACTAATATCATTACTATTACTATTTGTACCCTTTTCATAATAAACAAAAGGTTGTTATCTAGCCGACTGGATGTACACACATGGAAATACCTACCGTGTGGACCATATAGCACTTGTCATAGTCATTAAATAAAACTAGCAAGCACCATGGAATAGCGGCCGTGTTACACTTTCTAAAATAACAAATAATTATAATGTTAGACTATTGTCTATAGTAAAGTTGTTACAATTGGTGGCTATTGTTGAAACTCGTCTGCGACGATGACTGTACGCTAAATTGGTGATACGCGCTCCTTGTAAAGAATGCGTATTTGGATGGTTTAGCAGCTATTGTTTGCACTTGACTTTGTTGCACGTTATAAGGCAGGTCGAATGAGCCTATTCGTGCTTTTTTAGACATAACAGCTGGTGAAGAACAAGAGGAGAAACCGAAATCGTCTGCTGAATCTAGTGCCATTGGTTCTGGCAAGTCCAGCTCTTCCATATCGTTCTCGAGCCATGCTTGTACACTTGATTGCCGCGTCAATGTTGGTGATAGTGGTGGGAGAGGACGCCATATTCCTTGGGACTTGTTCAATGACGCAGAAGAGTGTGGTACAGCAGTGGTATAAAATGAAGATGACGATCGCTCAATCGGCTGCATCATCGTCATACTCTCTTCACTTGGTTTCCGTTCAGACAAGTAATTTGACGGGAAAAACAAGGATTGTACTCGTTTCTTGCTAGAAACAAGTGGAGCTGATTTCGATACAACAGCATCTGTTAGAGTTATTGTGGAAGTAACGGGAACCATTATGGATGCTATAGATATGGATAGCGCAAGACACAAAAACAAGCAGAAAGAAAGAAAAGAAAAATGCAGAGAGGAATTACAAGGTCAGACAAAATAAAATAAAAATAAAGAATTTTTTATAATGGTCAAAATATCACACATATTTATTCAATAAATAACTGGATATTTTTATGTAATAAGGCCATGAATTAATAGACGGAATGATCTTGTAGATATACTTGTACCAAGAAATAATGACTTGAATACCTATATATCTACTTGATGATGTTCTTGTCTTGTTCAGGCAGAAGCGATGGCATTCTAGGCATGGGACTCTTTGGGGGGAGGAGATTGCCTGGCGGTATCAGCAGCGGCGGGAGGTTTCTCTATAACTTCTGTAACTTCTTCTTGAGGAGTACGACGGGTTATTGCGGGCTTAGCTTCAACGGCGACCAGGCTGGTGAGAGTGACGACGGCGACGGCAATAGCGATAACGGCAGAGAACTTCATGTTGATATCGATTGGATAAGATGGAAAGGTGAGCTGACTAGAACGAGAGTAGAAAGTAGTGGAGGAGGAGAGTAAAGAGAGTAGAATAGAGTAGAAGAGCAGGTATGGAGATGGTGAGTGTGTCAACAGCACCATATATATAGCCATGATGATGGCGGTGGTTGATGTTTCTAATGAACAGGATAAAGCATTTTAAAGGGATCTGATTGGTGGAAAATTCGAGGGAAACTCGACGAGGTTCCGAGCGTACTATTTTATGATAGCTATAGCAACGTAGCGCAGTGGAAGCGTATTGGGCTCATAACCCAAGGGTCGGTGGATCGAAACCACCCGTTGCTATTATTATTTAAGCTGCTACTTCATCTACTTAGTGATGATATATCACTTTATTATGATAATACAAAGTAGGGGAGTATTTTTCATTTTTATTTTTTACACTATAGTGTGGTTTCCTAATTAGGAAATGCTACACGTTGATTAGTGGTCAACAATGCAGCCATTGCTAGTAGAAGGCATTTGGTAGTTAGCGAACAATGACGTGAACAAAACAAAAGTTTCTTGTTTGATTGATATAGAGAAGAACGGCTAGCTCGGCTACGTATACACTGTTTGCTATATTAGCCTTTGTCGTATGAATACTGAATGGCCTTTGCAGGACACGTCTCAATGGCATGAATCATACATTGAATAGAACAATAAACACACATTATTATTAGTGGTTGCAATAATGGAGTATTTTGAAATGCCGATATAATGTAGGTTCGGATAATTGACAGATCATGCGGTTACACGACATGGCAAACATTCACCACTCATCTAATTGGTACTATCTGCTCGCTATACTACCTGCAAACAATGGATTGACGATTCTGCTATATCAATATCTGCCATCATCATTATCATCTCGGCTATAAATCGAGCACCATTGCTACACTCAACTTGCCATCTTTATACTCGCTCTTCTACTCTACTCTACTCTAGCTGCTATCTACTCTCGTTCTAGTCTGTTTATCTGTTTATCCATTCCACTAGGCCAACATCAACATGAAGTTCTCTGCCATTATCGCTATTGCCGTCGCCGTTGTCGCTCTCACCAGTCTGGGCGTCGTTGAAGCTAGTCCCGCCTTGGATCGTCGTGGTATGTCTGGCCGTGACCCTATCAATTGATGTACTAACCGTAGCCTATTGTTTCATTGTCTACCGATGACTACCGATAGCTCGTAAGTTCATGTATATTAATGGTTGTTTTGCCATGCTAATCACATTTCAATGTTTATTCCATCTGTTACTTTGTTAATAATAGCTGGTAAGTTAGTTTATTGACCGTAACAAGTACTAGGCTAATTGTAGTGCAAATCAAAATTATATATAACTACCATTTTCAAGTACCTGTAAGTTATCGTAGTGGCTACAAGCTATCTGTACTAATTATGATATTATACATGATCCACCTATTTGTATACAATAGGTCGTAAGCTACCATTTTGATCACATGAATCCCGTGCTAACTAAATTACAACACTCATTCATATGTTCCTGTCTGATAGGGAGTAAGTTATCATTCTGACAGTATCGTATAATTGCTAATCACCCTATGACACCTGATCCACGTATGTTCTTGTATGATAGATTGTAAGTTACTATGCCAACTATACAGTATGGTCGCTGATTACCATATGACCTACAATTCACATATGTTCCTGTACCATAGCCTGTAAGCTATCACTATGATTATGATGCATGGTGTACTAATTACAAGATGTCACACAATTTATACATTATCGTATTATAGGGCGTAAGTAACCATTTTGATCGTATTGAACGAGGTATTAACTATGGTATGATACTGATCCACGTATGTTTATGATAGGGTGTAAGTTCTCGTTCTGATTGTAACAAGTGATGTATTAATTATAACGTGACACACGATCCACGTATATTTCTGTGCACCAGTTTGTAAGTTGTCATTCTGTCTACAATGTATGGCTGGGCTAACTATAGTGTGACACATGATTCCGTATGCTCTCGTATAATAGCGGGTGAGTTACCATCCTGGCCGTAATGAATGAATACTAATATCAATGTGGCTCATGATCCACGTATTCGTTTGTATACGATAGGCCGTAAGTCATCATTATGGTTGTAATACATGCATGAATGAGTACTAATCACGCTATGGCACACGATTTTTGTATGTTCCTGTATGATAGCAAGTAAGTCATTATTCTGATCGTATTTACGGCGTACTAACTATAATCTGACCCATGCTCAATACATGTTTACATATGATAGGACGTAAGTTTCCATTTTATTTGTAATCTATGGATGTACTGATCACGATATGACACATGGTCGATATGTGTTTTGCATAACAGATTGTAAGTTATCATTCTGATCATAATGCATGGGTATACTAATTATAGCATAATATCACTTCATGTGTTCCTGTATTGCAGAAAGTAGGCTAGCATTTCGATGATAATGAATAACGTACTAATTGCAAATGGCACATAATCCATACGTTCGTATATAACAGCATGTAAGTGAGCATAACAATTACACACTATGATTACTAATTATACCATGATGCATGATTCACATATGACCCTCTATGGTAGCCTGTAAGCTAATACGATTGCTGTAATGAACGGTACGCTGACTAAATGTGACACACGGCTAATATGGGTATTCCTCACGATAGGATGTAAGTTAATATTTCTGATCGTAACGCGTGGATGTACTAATCACGCTATGGCACACAATCCGTATGTAATTTTGCATAACAGCTTGTAAGTTACTCTTCTGGCTGTAATGTACGACGCGCTAATCACAATACGGTATTCATTGATTGAATAGCCACCACAATAAGCAGTAAGTGATAATCCAACAGATAATCATACCCATACTAATCCATTATGATTACAGAACAGGACAAGGACATCATCAAGTAGATATTATAGGTATTCAAGTCAAGAATGTATTGGTGTTACAAGACCCTTTAGTGTTCATGCCATTCAAGTCATTATTCCTTGGTACAACAACAACAAGTATATCTACAAGATCATTCAATCATTTATTGAATAAATATGTATATATTCCAATTATGCTACAGAATACTTATGAGTTATTACGATGTAATGTCAATAGCATAGTCTTATTTCACTAATGTGCTTTTATTATAATAATAAAGTTCGATGCATAATATATATATTACGCTAATCAGATCATTTAATCTAGCAAGCATGACTAGTATCACCAATGATCAGACTCCTTCCGGTACTCTTAGTAAATAAACAAAACAACGTAGTTAATCGCTTGTCAACTGCCGAAATAGAAATCGTGCTCGATCTATAAGACCAGGGAATGTGGGTGCCGGTCGTACATCCAAGTAGAACGATGCTACTGCCTCTGGCCTCTTTGGATCATGTTGACCTGCGTAGAAGTCGATAATATAGGTTACTTCCTCGCCGCATCGATCTACTACCCAATCATGTCGATCAAATGGCAATTTATACCTGGTGGTAGTATAGTAATGATGGACAAGTACACAGAATGTTATTATTAACAATAAGCATTCCACTCGTATTTTCTACTACTTACCCGAGCCAACTACGTAATCGAGCCTTTAGCGAAATATCCTGAGGCCGTCCCTGGAAACGTACCAGTGCTGGTCGACCACAATCACTACGCGTATTCTACGCGTGAGTTCCTATGATTGCTATCCATTCAATTCGCTTACCTTTCATGCATATGCTCCCATTTTAGAATCTCCTTCCAGGCACGTTCGTTGACCGCATTATGAATTGGCACTACCGTTTGCATATCCTCCTCGTTTGGATTCCAGTTTTTACGACGAAGTGCATTAAAGAACATTTGCTGCGATGGATACACCCACACGCCATGCTTGTTGTCGCCAGTTGCCGCGGGACATGCATTCTCGCCACTATTACTTGCACCATCCGACGCGTGAGTGGGTGCTGCCATCGGGATGGTGGATAATTCGCGTTGCGTATCAAGTGATATACGCTGATTGTCCGCACGTTCTTGATTAGGTGCCGGCATGTAATTGGCCGGATTAAGTGATTCCTTATCCTGTCCCTCTGCTACTCCGTCTGTCTTGCTATTTGGCAAGAAATGAGCGTAGGCCGCGTGATCTACGGGACATTTGGAAGTAGATGTCTGCCCTTCAACGGGGCTATCCTGCTGTTTAGACATGGTGAATGGAGAAAGTAAATATATGCATTGGTGTTTTTTTCTTTTTTTCTTTTTAACTTTTGAATTTTACGCTTGCTTATTCTTTTATTCATTCGTATTGTCGTTATCACACTGTTACTAATAAATAATGGGTCGTCGTGTAAGTTAACGAGGTGATGACTATCAAGTGACTAGCTGACGAGATATACGCGATATATATATATATATGTATATCTAGAGAAAAACTAGAACGCACGCTAAACAAGCAGCAATACCTGAAGGTGCCAGCGTGGAGAATGCATCTAAAATACCGAAAAGCTTTGTGATTCGAGCCGGTAATCCAGGTAAAAGTGTATCGGAACTAGTGCATGATATCCGTTCGGTGATGGAACCACATACAGCCTCACGTCTTAAGGTCGGTGATAGTATAGGAGGAGGCTACTTTTTAGTATCGCGTTACTCATACTAGTTATTACAGGAAAGGAAAAACAACAAGCTAAAGGATTTCCTTCAAGTAGCCGGACAGCTTGGTGTTACGCATATGCTTATATTCGGTCGAACTGAAACTGCGGTCAACTTGCGTATGGCTCGTGTCCCCCATGGTCCAACGTTAACTTTCCGCGTATGCAGTTATTCATTGGCACGAGATGTACTCGCTGCACAACGACGTCCCAAATCACCTGGTACCGAATTCCAAACAGCACCACTAGTAAGTAATATGGAATCATCGACTCGATGTCGCTTTATTAACGATGATAATCTACAGTTAGTAATGAATAACTTTGGTGGCGAGCAAAAACAAATGAAGCTATTAACGGCCATGTTCCAAAATCTATTTGCACCAATTAATGTGAAATCGGTAGGAATATACACTCTCTACTATGCTGCTAATGAACAAGTATACTAATGATGCCAATGTGTATACAGATGAAATTATCAGAGGCACGTCGTGTGGTGTTACTGAATTACAATTCAGATACGGGCAACATTGATTTCCGTCATTATAGCATTAATGTAAAGCCAGTAGGCGTCACAAAGGGAATTAAACGCGTGGTCATCAATACCAATCTGCCTAATCTCTCTCAATTTGAAGATGTCAGCGATTATGTATTACGGTAAGTGGCGTAGTGTATATTAGATGGTAC